TATTTAAAAAATATCAATGCTTTCTTAATGTTTAGACGTAATTACACAACAACAACAAGATACATGCTACAGTCATGTGCCCATCCAGGATGTATTTTTTTTTCTTTGTCTGAAGTTTTAATTGTTTAGTGTTGTGTTACTCAGTCCTGAATTTTCTTTCCATCAGCAATTATGTTCTTTTTTCCAGCAACATGTGAACAAAACACTCCAGAAACTTTATTCCCATTTCAATCCTAGGAGATTTATCCAGTCCAGAGCGAAACTCAATTCAAGAAGAGTACCTTGATCTTCTATCACAGAAGCCATTTTTTGCCAGCACTTCCAAGTACGCAGTACTGTACTGTATATCTAGTTCTAATTAGTAAATGTAAAAGACTACATTCAAATTTAATTTATCATCATCATCTGGTACATTGTTTTGTTTTGGGTAGATATTATGTACGTTAATTATTGCCATGGATTTGTTATCAATTATCAGTTTTGTCTATCACTCTCTTAACATAGTGTCCTAAAATCAAAAGCCACTTTTTGAGCTCAACATGCCAAACCTGACTTTATAAGGCCCTTTTGTTGCTTGCTAAAATAACATGGCCCTTAATAGGGTATGACTAGGATTATCTTATGTATATATTGCCTTGGGAAAACATGGGATAATACAGTAAGTTGATTGTGCGTCTAGTCGCCTTTCAAAAATGTAATATTGAGTGGCCATATATATCTTTGCGTGATCAAAACTATAGGATAAGAGTCCACTAGCATGGTGTCTGGGATGTTATGTGGTGTAGTAGCATTGGGGTTAAAGTAATGCAATTCTATAATTCTTATTTTTACAGTAGTTACTGTGCTGTGGATTAAAAATATTTTAAATATTAATTTCTATAGAGCAAAGGAGTCACTTGGACACAGAAGCATTTCAGTCTATGACAGTGGAAACAATCCTGGTGATGTCTACTGGAACAAGGTAGCTAATCAAGTTAAAAAGTATTTGCAGAAAGGGGAATGACTACCTTCGTCAGAAAGAAATAGCTGGTCCGATATTGTTGATGACTACGTATGAAGATTTGTATATAAAATTTGTTAGTAGCTCTCAATCAACAATTATGATATTATTGTTTTTATGGGTGAGTCAGTACAACATAGTGTATTGCAGTTCTTTGTAATATGTAACCTAATGTTAAGCTAACTACAAGTATCTGTATTCCATGAGTCACTAGCATTGAAAGTCCAATTGCCCAGCTAATTTACTAACTTATTGAAAATTGTTAAAATTATGATTAAAATGTAATAAATCTTAATTTTAATTACAAGGAATTACAGACAAGGTGTTGTTTGGGTACATTTATCCAAAAGTGTGGTTTCCCTAACTAATGAATTTATGATTGCCTTTGCAACGTCTCTAAGATATGGTGATAGCAAATGATAGTAAACAAGCTAAGAAGTAGAGTGATTAAATGATAATCTGTTAGTACTGTACA